CCTACCATTCTTTTTGGCTAGACACAAGTGATGATGCCCTTGACGTGCGTATTTTTTTTTTGTCATGAGTTAGTGCATCTAATTGGACTGAATTGCCATGATAATACTTGACTTGTTCTGGTGTTTTTAGGTTAATGGCCGCATCATCAGGAAGCGGATCCATGTCCGTGTGGAGCATGTGCAGCCCTCCCGTTGCACAGAGGAGTTCCGCTTGAGGAAAGCCAAGAACGACCAGCTCAAGGCGGATGCCAAGGCCCGTGGTGAGGTGATCAGCACCAAGAGGCAGCCTGTGGGACCCAAACCTGGCTTCATGGTTGAGGGTGCTACACTTGAGACAGTCACTCCTATCCCTTATGATGTGGTCAATGATCTCAAGGGTGGTTACTAGAGAGAATTCTTGTATCTTGTGCAGTTCAAGCGAGCTGGCATAAAAACTTATCTGAATCTTTTTGATAACTGGCTAGTTCTTTTGTTTTGGTGTTATGAACCTATGTGGCTATTGCTAGGTAACGTTAAAGATTTTGCCATGGTTGATTGCAACCTGTTATGTTATCTTCTGTGGATTGTATTGTCTAAATTTTCCTGGAGCCACCCGTATCCTTTTGAGTGATGTCTGTATCTTGTGCGGTAAAGCAAACTACAACAGATGCGTTTCTGAATGTTTTTCTACAGGTTTGATTGGTTTGGTCCTCTTTTGTTAGTGGACTCCTGCAGTATGATTTGAGCTTATATGGTTACTTATTGTTTATGGCAGTTGAAATAAGTGAAAGAACGGACAACTTGTATTTTGTATTGATCTTATGTATGTGAAAGGGTGGCTTGTCCTGAAAGTGCCGAATACGTTGGTGGCAACGTTAACCATCTAAGACAGTTGTTAATCTCTATTCTAATCTTATAGCTAATCTTTGATTTTATTGAGATTGAAGAGTGTTTCTTTGTTGAAGAGTGTTTCTTTGAGAGACATCGCACAATACTCCCCCTAATCTTGAATATTTGTTTAAATGAAATTTTTGCCAATATGCCGTATAAATTTTAGGAAAAATGAGGTGGAAATGGTATGACATAAGTAACAGGATAACTTATGCACCCCACCAACCTTACATAAACACAACGATAGCTTGGTGGTGGATTCCGTCTCTTTCTAAAACTATAGGCTCAAAAGTTTTAACTCCTTATGTTATTTGTAGATCACACTATCTTTGGTATCTCATTTGAAAACCATGTGAAGAAAAAATGATACTCCCTTTGTTTCAAACTATATAGCGTTTTGATTTTTTACGTACATTTTTTTTACTGTGCATATAGACTTAGTGTATGTGTATCTAACTGTATAACAAAATGTATGTGTCTAGGAAAACCAAAAACATTTGATAGTTTGGAATGGAGGGAGTATTTCGCATTACCTTATTGTAAACTCATATAAGATATAAGAGAGAAACTCATAAGTGAGGTTGGAGAACAATAGTACGATTTGTGGATCATAATAGGAACAACAAAAAATGATAAGCGTTACTTTGATCGTCAAAAGTCACACAAATTTTAGCCCTTAGTTTTTCCTAAAATATGTATCACTTGCTAATGAATTAGTATCATTCAGATACATTTTAAATACAAATCTACTAATGTAAGTCTTGTCATAAACTATTTCGACAATTGTTAGTCAAAGTTTATAAAATTTATCTTCTCCGTTTACAAAATAGGTTGGGACAGACAGAGACGGTAGCTTGAAAAAGCTCAAGTGTACCCCTCGCTTTCGGTTCAAACGAAAGCAACAGCTGCTACAAAACTACGACAAATACGTAAACGTTTTAAATATCGTACGTACACCTGGAACCAGGGATCGTTCTGATCCTGACCCGCGCGGTTGAGCCTCTGAAACTCTAAAATCTCAGCCTCAAACAAACACGAGTAGCCAGTCCTATCCAGTTTTTTTGCGTTGAAGATTTTTTGAAATCCAATTGAGATCGGGGGAGCGATGACACCAGGCCAGGTGGATGGCGACGAGAGGATATTTTCCGCCGGCTTGCTCTCCTAGCCAGCCAGACTCCCACGTTTCGTGCAAAGAGGCGTGCGAGGACGCCAAATCTGGCCTCGAGCCCTCAATAAACGCAAACGTCGCAGCCCCGTTCCGTCCATTTCCTACGCTTTCTTTTGGCCCCACTTGCTCCCGTTTGCTATTTTGCAGAGGCGTATGCTGGTCGGTCGCATTTGCGTCGTGCGTTGTTAGAGTTCGGAGAGCCACAAACCGAACGCTATCCACCACCACCTCCTTCTTCTTCTTCTTCTTCTTCTTCTTTTTGCCATAATGTGCTAGGCCGCTAGCAAGAAATTACAAAAAAGAAAAAGAAAAGAAAGTCGGCGGAAGTGTCTAGAACTGTCGCTGGAGGACCACGGGACATGGCTGCTTTGCAAGAAGAGCTGGACTTATCAAAGTGTCATGTGATCTTCTTGCTCCCGCATAGATGTAGACGATTTTTGTCATGTTCAGAACAATCGGGCTCTGGATTTGGTTCGTGTGGATAGGATATCCATTCATGTGTCCGGCGTTCGTTGGCGCGAAGTCACGCGATGCAACAGGCTACACCAGGCCTCAGCAGATCGGCGAGTGATTCAGAGCGGTCGTCGCCGTGCGTAGTATGTGTTCAGAATTGCGGGCATGTGACACCGCGTGATAACTCGCAGAGCAATTGGCGTGCCGATCAGGCGATCAGCGCCGACCACCGATCATACAATCGGGCTTGTATTTTAGTTTGTATAGTGTGGTTTCTGTATTTGAATGACTGTAGTCTTTTATTAAGATTTGCACAGTACTAAAGTAGACTTAATATAGCATTAGCTAGGTTCAAATCAGATTCAAAGTCTGATTAGTTGCTTCTGTTAGTCTTAGTCTGCATTACATCTTATACATCATGACCTAAACCCGTGTAAACGTGTCCAGCGCCTTAACGCTTGGTTGTTCTACTTCTGCATCGGCAAGACACACTTGATAAATTCATGTTTGGTTGTTTACATTTTGTTACATATAATAATCACCTTTAAGATCTAGCTGAGTTCTCATATTTTCTATATTAGATGTTTAGGGATGAAAATATATCATTTCTGCATCCGTATCTACTCATGTAGACTTGCATTGTCTAATACGATAAATCTACTGCACTAACTAATACAATATTAAGTCTGCTTTTGAGCGCTACGGAAATCATTATAAGAGTCTATGCAAATAACTAAGCACGAGCAAACTACATAAAGTCCAAAAAACATGATTAATTTAATCGTGCTAAACAATGTAGATTTGCATGGACCGGCATGCAAATAAAATCTTCTCGTCTTCTTCTCTCTCTATTAAAATATGACGTCCGTCGTTGGCTTGGCTTCGGTTTCCCCAAAACCGATAAAGCCAGAAAAGTCTATTTTTTAAAAAAGATCAGCTAGTAGGCTAAAAGGCTTTATCATTTTTTTTGCTTGATTTTAATTTTACACACCGTTTTCATGTAAAGTATTTAGGATGGTCTCACCCAAGAAATTGTAGAAGTTACAAATAAAGAGCGTATTTGTTTGGGAGCATCTAATCAACCTGTTGCCCAGACAGCGATTCTGATCCCAGACAATCAGACACCTACGGTTACAATTCACGTCAGACTGTCTTCAACGCGGGACCCAAAATACAAGGTTTATTTGTTATTTGGGTAGCGCTACAGGTAAATGGTTCGATATTTATTTTTGTCTTCTCCAACAAGAAGATCCAAAAGACAACCCTTTCTGCAAATGGGTCTTCAGGAGAGAGAATATTCAGATTTTGGTTATACCTCTCCTGACATTCAAAATAGGTCTTCCATATAGATACTCTGTTGAAGGCTATAGGTATTATGTTGAAGGGCTATTTTAGGTTTGGGTTCCGCAATTGCCTCAAACAAGATTGCCTAGGGTCAACTAAACAATTCTAGACTGAGCTAGCTAGGTGGACATGTGGCCCATGTCTCCATGGATCACCGTAAAATTTGGTTTAAGGTTAAACTATAATAGATGAGCTCACTGAAATCATGAAAATTACACATAGACTACCCTATAATTTGGTTTTATACATCTAAAATGGACTAATCTTGTTCTAATCCTAGCTACGCCACTGGTTCTAGAGCTTCTCTACAAGACCAATCAAAGGGTTCTAACCCCATATAATAAGAAACCAAAGGCATGGATCGTTTTGCTAAATTTTGGCTACTGCTGATGCTGATGCTGATTTATTATGAGAAAAAAATAATATTTTTTAACTAAAAAATACTATTAAAGTAATGCTGAAAAACAAGATTAAATACTACAACTTACTATCAAGCCAAAAAAAACACTATAAAATCAGGCACGCAAACGCAGCATGTTTTCGACGGCATCTCATGCGAACGCACGGAGTACAACAGCACGTGGTGGGTGTGGAGTGGATCATACACACACAGCCAACACCGTCCAAACCGCAACCATGTTCCGGGGGACACGCGTCGCGCATCCAGCCACCCTATCTCCACGCTGGACCGCGACGTGGCCCGGCGCGCAGTCCCCGCCAAAACACGTCGCCGACGCTTCGAGGCCGGTTCACGCGTCCGCGGGAGCCCTGCCCCGCCCACCGCCCATCCCCCCAATTCGCTGCTGCCGGCTGCCCCTCCGCTCGTGGCTCACCCCCACCTCCCGTCACCGCCTCACGTTCCGCTCACCGGAGCACCGCGCGCCACGTCGCGCGGGGCGCCCGTGTCCGCCAGCCTTATTTAACCCCGCGGCCCGGGGATCCCCTTCCCTTCCCCCGTAATAATAACCGAATCCCCAGTCCAGATCGCCGTCGCATCGCAGCAGGAGGGGAGTCCCCAGGGTCCCGGACCGAATCCATTTCCAGACACCAAGGCCAAGCAAGATCCATCTCTCGCTCCGGCCAGCCAGACTTCCTCTTCTTCGTTCTTGGTGGTCTGATCTCGTCGCCCATTCGAGTCCAATCCGATCCCAACCAACCGCTGTGAATGATGGCGCTCAACCTCGCCCACCAGACCGGCGGGGCGGCCGCGGCCGTCACGGTGGCACCGACGGCACCACGCTCAGCCGTCGTCACGGCGGCCGCCACCGTGGCGGCGCCGTCCGTGTCGGCGGGCGCCGCCCCGGCGCCCGCGCTCCAGATGCAGACGATGACGGTGGACGCGGCCCCCGCGCAGCCGCCGGAGGCGGTGAAGCCCGACCTGGCCATGGCGTGGCCGGCGCTGGTGGCGGAGAGCTCGCCCGACGAGGCGGAGCACGCCGACGTCGCCGCCGAGCTCCGGAGCAAGGCCGGGGTGCCCGTCTTCGTGATGATGCCGCTCGACACCGTGCGCAAGGACGGCAACTCGCTCAACCGGCGGAAGGCCGTCGAGGCCAGCCTGGCGGCGCTCAAGAGCGCCGGCGTGGAGGGCATCATGGTGGACGTCTGGTGGGGCATCGCCGAGGCCGATGGCCCCGGGCAGTACAACTTCAACGGGTACATGGAGCTCATGGAGATGGCCAGGAAGACCGGGCTCAAGGTCCAGGCCGTCATGTCCTTCCACCAGTGCGGCGGCAACGTCGGCGATTCAGTCACGTACGTGTCTACCTCTGCCTCTTCTTCTTCTCATCTTTGCTTACCACTTATTACTCCTATGCTGCTTCACCAGTGTTTTTGTTCTTGCCTCACATTCTCTAGATTAAACCTAAATTCATTGACATTAATTTTTAGACGAAAGAACATGCACAAATGATCAGTACTATATTCAAAACCTGCATATTGTTATATTATTAGAAGAAATCTTTCACAAAATTCTGACACATTCACGAGTTTTACCGTCGATTAGCTCTGGATTTTTCGTTACCAACGGGCCTTCCGTGATGCCGAGAACTGTCCAAGTCAGTGGCCGAGAAAGATCTGCACTTTTTCCTTTGTTTTTAACTCTTTTTTCTACTCTGGAAAGTCCGAAAATTGCATCCACTACACACTAGTGGATGTGGACTGAACGCAAGGTCCCCGTGAACCATTGAGCCACGGAGAAGCACAAGTTCACCATCCGTTACCCTGAATAACCTGAAGAAAAGTCGTCCTTTTCTCTCCTTATAAACAGTGGCGCTTCCGTCTTCCTGCCGACTCTGCATGTGATCTGCCACGAGATCCGTGAGCAGAACTGCAGAAGTTCAGGCTCCAGAACCCATAATCCTGATCAAAGATATGCTTTTTTAGTTTCCTGCCATGTGATCCTGCGTAGGTCGGGTCGACGACAAGGTTTGTGAATTAGACACTGACGAACTACTTAATTGCCGTTGGACGTTGCAGCATACCGCTCCCGAGATGGGTTGGGGAGGAGATGGACAAGGACCAGGACCTGGCCTACACCGACCGGAGCGGCCGCCGGAACTACGAGTACGTCTCCCTAGGCTGCGACGCGCAGCCCGTGCTCAAGGGCCGCACGCCCATCCAGTGCTACGCCGACTTCATGCGCGCCTTCCGCGACCGCTTCGCCACCTTCATGGGCAACACCATCGTGGAGATCCAGGTCGGCATGGGCCCCGCCGGCGAGCTGCGCTACCCGTCCTACCCGGAGAGCAACGGCACCTGGTCCTTCCCTGGCATCGGCGAGTTCCAGTGCTATGACAGGGTACAGCATGCGTGCTCGTTCGTTTTTTGTACCCCTCTCAGAGCTTGTAACTGACCTGCTGCGATATCCATGTGCATTCATGCAGTACATGTTGAGTAGCTTGAAGGCGGCTGCTGAGGCCGTAGGCAAGCCGGAGTGGGGCAACGCGGGTCCTGGCGACTCCGGCGGCTACAAGAACTGGCCGGAGGACACGGGCTTCTTCCGTCGCGAGGGCGGGTGGAGCACGGAGTACGGGCAGTTCTTCATGAGCTGGTACTCGCAGATGTTGCTGGAGCACGGCGAGCGCATCCTGTCGGCGGCGACGGGCGTGTTCACGGGGTCCCCCGGCGTGAAGATCTCGGTGAAGGTGGCCGGGATCCACTGGCACTACGGCACCCGGTCCCACGCAGCGGAGCTGACGGCGGGGTACTACAACACCCGGCAGCACGACGGGTACGCGCCCATTGCGCGCTTGCTGGCGCGCCACGGCGCCGTGCTCAACTTCACGTGCGTCGAGATGCGGGACCACGAGCAGCCGCAGGACGCGCAGTGCCGCCCCGAGGCGCTGGTGCAGCAGGTGGCCGCCGCGGCGCGGGAGGCCGGTGTCGGGCTGGCCGGGGAGAACGCGCTGCCACGCTACGACGAGACGGCGCACGACCAGGTGGTGGCCACGGCCGCCGACAGGGCGGCCGAGGACCGCATGGTGGCGTTCACGTACCTGCGCATGGGGCCCAATTTGTTCCAGCCCGACAACTGGCGCCGCTTCGCCGCCTTCGTCAAGCGCATGTCCCAGCCGGGCGCACGGGAGGCGTGCCGGGAGCAGGTGGAGCGCGAGGCCGAGGGCGTCGCGCACGCCACCCAGCCGCTCGTGCACGAGGCCGCCGTCGCGCTCACCGATTGATGTGCAGGTGGCCGGCGTTCCCACCCATTGCCCGTGTTCCACTAGATGGTGATACGTACGCTACTACTACCTCAACAATACTTGCTCATACATAAGCTGCGCCGGCCGGCCGCCGTGTCGTCGATCGGTGCGTGCACCGCGCAATAGTGTACGTAAAAGGGAAGCTGCGACCGAGGTAGGGGTGGGCTGGGTGGGTGACTGGGTAACGGTTCGAGGCTTTGGCGTTGCTCAAAGCTTGGCAGGAGATGGGTTTGATGTTCTGCTGCTGTGCTACTATCCTACACCTACAGAATGTGTGGATAAACTCATGATTTGTACTGCTATAATTTGAACAAAAAAACAAACTTGTGAAAACGTATTGCTTGGGCTGGGCTCGTTCGTGCAGTATATGGCCATTGTCTGAGGTTCGTGCTTCAGAGATCAGAAGGTGCCTAAGGTCCTCAATTTTCATTCTCTAGAGTTCCTCTGGGACTTGATTATTACGACCAGGCTTGAGTGCCACCTCGTCTATTCCTTGAACACCCATCACCATTGTAGAAGGCATTGCCCTTTGCTGATTTTTTTAATATATTAATACATGTGCTGTATAACTCTAAACATATATTTTCTAGTGTTTATATTGCATATTTCTCTATTCTGTTCAAATCATAAATCAATGGTAATATTTGTTTAGATCTATATTTTTTAGAAAAAAAACATACTTCATGTGGTAGTCTTTAAAAAAAATCATGAAATTTTGGCTGAATTTTATGAAATTCGGTAACTTCGGTGGTGGCTGAAATTAAAAACCCTGCTCCTCAGTATCCATCTGCATCAGCAGACACCGGACAACACCTCAATTTGCACTTTAAGTCCTCCAGCGAGTTGCTTGTTACGTTCTTATCTTCCCGCTTTGTTGAAGGATACATAATCAAAGTGTTGCTCCATGTTGTAGACTCTCAAGTCTGCAAAGTCATAAATAATATATCAGGATGGCTGCCATATTCAAAATACAGTGAACGTTCACGAAAATTTTAGCATGTATTTGTGTTATTACCGAATTACATCACTCTGTTTAGTAAATTACATTGAACAAATTATTGTAAATATAATATACGGCAGTGTAAATATAACTATAAGACAGTGTAAGTGCATGTGCAAAAATATAGTTGTTGGAACTTGGGAGGGACTAAAACAACCAGTTATTGGCTGGACATACTCATCTTGTATTGTTGCTCCTTAATTTTTGTAAAGAACCATTATCGTTTTCTAGTATACAGTAAATACGAAGCTCTGCAGATCCCGCGGCTGCCAACGCTGCAACGGCGGGATTTGGCACCATGGTAAAGCCAGCCGCTCGCCAGCTCTGCGAACCCCGCGGCCGCCAACGCTGCAACGGCGGGATTTGGCACCGTGGCAAAGCTGGGCTGATCGCGCTGCCACGGCGGCACTGCACGTCGGCCCGCGGAAGCAGATGTTCGTGAGAGGGAGCTCGAAGGTGAGGCATGGTCTCGACGGTGTGTTGTGTGATGATTCAGTATTTGCATCCGTATCTGTGTCTTATGGTTTGGTTTGTGGACTATACTGGCTGGATTCTTAAATATTAATAAAATAAGAGTGTTCCTCTGCCTACCGTTTTTTTTAGCAAATCCTCTCCTGGTGATTACCACTAGATTGTAATGCAGTATTTTAGGAGTGGCTTGATCCTAATCCAATTCACGTTTTAATAGTTATTGTCGGGTTCATAAACCCGGGTCCCTCATAAACCGGCTTTCCAACAAAGGCTCGGCCCAACAGACAACATTGCGAGCAAACACGCAACTCATGGGCCGGCCTAAATACTTAGACGACAGGCCAGAAGGACGATTCAATCTCCGATCGGAAGGCTGGCCGAGGAGAAACGGCGCCCGCTTCCGACTCCAGCCCGCCTCTCCGACCGGAGCGCTCGCTTTGGTCTCCAGTCCGCCTCCGGATGGACTCTCCGACCGGAAGGCCTAGCCGAACACCGCTTCCGGCTTCGACCCGCGTCTCCGACTGGAGATACGCCGAACTCCTGCTTACAGCTCCTTTCCAACTGGTGCAGTCAGAGCCGACTGGGGCCAACTGACCGAGGACGCCTGCTCGGTAGGGACCAGGAAACAGACGGAGAAAGTAAGACATCGCACTCAAGTCAACCGCAATACCGAGGACCGTACCCTGTACACCTGCAGGACAGTACCCTGCGACCTCCCTGACATGACAGAACCCAAGCAATGTTGTAGGCGCCGATATTTTTTTCTATAGTGTTGTGGGCGCCATCAACTCCCATACCAGACAAATACAGTAAGACTCTCCCACGTGCCTCTGAGGCGACGATAGTGTTGTGGGCGTCGGCATTTATCGTACCAGCGAACATGGTAAAACCCCTTAAATACCTTTGAGTATCAATAGTGTGGCAGGCACCGACATCTGCCACACCTGAAGAAAAAGACGTAACCTTCCACGTGCATCTGATATTAAACAGTATTGTGGCCGTCTACCATCATCTTGTACCCACCGGCGTGGGCAGTAAGACTTAGCAGCATACATGCTCTCTCCCTCTCACTTGTAAGGTCATCCCTTCATCTATAAAAGGAGATGCGCTCTCTCCCAACAGATAAGTTGATTCCGATCGATCAAGTTCACATAGCACATAACGGAGCTCCCGTCACTCTTGGCCCTTTCGACCAGAGTCCGATCGGACCTCTTGTACACCCTATCTTTCTCCTTCTCGTTTGTAACCACACTGCAAACTTCGAGCACCTGGGCTCAGGAATAAAGTCACCGACCGACTCAAACTGGACGTAGGGCACGTTGTCTGAACTAGTATAAATCATGTGTCATTAAGTGCTAGACCACCTCCGATCACAACGTACAATAAAACTACAAATATTTACGTGTTGTCACTTTCTACACCGACAGTTATAATCCGATCCAATTCTACCCAATTAAAATTATACCCTGCTCCAATCCTGGCCCCTTTTAGGCCCTTGGGCACGATCCTTTTATCATGTTTGGGCCTAATCCTTTTACTCTGGAGTGTCATCTATCGCTGCATGATGCATTGTTAGGGCCGACCGGCCACGTAGTGACGTAGCTAGAAAGAAGTAGCTTTTAAGTCCTCCAGCGAGTCGCTTGTTACGTTCTTCTCTTCCTGCTTTGTTGAAGGATACATAATCAAAGTGTTGCTCCAAGTTGTAAACTCTCAAGTCTGCAAAGCATAAATAATATATCAGGATGGCTGCCATATTCAAAATAACAGTGAACGTTCATGAAATAGGATAAGCAGTACCTAACAAAATGATTTTAACGCCAAATATTTCACAACAGTTAAATGCAATTGTTTGTGATGGAACAAGTTTCTATAGTAAAAGAGAACACTTGTAAACTTAAAAAGGCCTCTACAGTCCAAACCATACAAGGATTGAATCGTAGATTAACCTTTTACAAACAAATAGATAGGTCACTTTATGTCGGTGTTTTGGACCGGGGGTCCTCAACCAACTAGTAAAAGTGAACTGCGTGTCCCTAATCCCGGATGGTGATGCAAAGAGACACAAGGTTTATACTTGGTGCCCTACGTCTAGTCTGAGAGATCGGTCTTGTATTTCTTGCACCGAAGTGCTTGTAGTAGGGGGTTATAAGCTGGGTGAGAGAGGGAGCTAGTCCCAGGTCTCGGCGTGGGATGGTGCGAGGTGCTTGAGACGCTGCTCTCAAGCAGCCCAGGAGCGTGGGTGTTACAGGATGTGTCTAGGGCGAGTATGGGAGCGCAGTTCTATCGTCTGTCTTTTTCCTCCCCCTAGCTATCCCTGGCCGCTTCCTTTTATAACCGCAAGGAAGGAGCCAGGAGTACATGAATAAGCTACACGTGGGGCCTACTGCAGTTTTGTCCTGTAGCAGCATGGCGTTGGGAATGAAGATCGGTACTTGTCTGGCGCGCCATGCTAGTCAGGTTTGAAGTGGTTGAGGTCGTGGGGGTCTTTGTCGATGTCTAGTCAGTATGACTTCCACGGCCGGAGACATGCTGTGCTTTGGTGGACTCTTGACCTGGTGGAGTGCCGAGGCCTAGCGGGTTGTAGCTAACCACGCCGAGGCCTGATTTGCCGAGGCCCTGGCGGGTGTTTGTAGCTGACCGCGTCGATGCCTGATTTGCCGAGGCCCTGGAGGGAGCAGTTGGGCCTATGCACTGATTCTGAGGCTATAGTGACCTGGTTTAGGTGGAAAAGCGCAGAGCATGGTAAAAGAGGAGATTTGACCGTTGTCCCATCGCTCCTGTTGTAGTACCCTGTCGGTTGTGGCTGACGTAGCGGGTGCATTCAGGCGCATTAAATGGATGGGACAGCCTGCTAGGGGGATGGTTGAGGCGGAGGCGACAAGGATGCAGGATGAGCCCGGCCTCGGCCGAGGCGGAGAAAGAACAGTACGTCCGAGGAGGCCTGCCGGGGGGTCTCGGACGAGGCGGAGAACGAGCAGCTGGACTCTTCTGCGGTTGCTGAGACTATAGGGACCTGGACTTGACCTTCCACACCGCTTTGTCCTTAGCATAGGGGTTAGGTAGCACAAGGCAGTATGGGTGTTAGTAAGGAGCACAGTGATGAGCACAGTGGCAGGTAACCCCTGCTGCGCTCGGTCCCCTGTCCCGTCGGTCGTTTTGCCCGCATTGTACCCGCGTGCTGGTTGACGTTTGCGGGAGTGGTTGGGCGCATTAACCCGGACGTGACATTTTGTCAGAGGAGTTCGGTCGGGACGGAGGTAACGAGGTTGTTTGCCGAGCCCAGCCTCGAGCGAATCGGAGAATTGGCATCCCATCCGAGGCCTTTCGGGGTGGGGCCTCAGCAAGAGGGTCTCGGTGAGAGGGCCTCGGCGAGAGGGCCTCGGCGGGGCGGGGAACTTTTGGCCTTTCGCATGGGGCTTTGGTGCAAGGCCTCGGGCGAATCGGAGAAATCTGCTGAGACCTTGCGGTAGTCTTTCGGCTTTGATTTTTGCAAGGTTTAAGCAATATT